ACCAACATATACCCCAGCAGAGGCGGGAAAAGAGGGTGGGTGATCAATCCACCATCTTTCCCCGCTTCTGTGCCCATCGCGCCGTCCCTACGCCAAACGACTGTCCACACCTAGGATTCGGGTTAGCTTCGTGCACGATAAGACATCCAGGCGCACCAAAAAACGGCTCCTAGTCCAAGACAGCGACCAAATGAGAACATGGCACTGTGACACAGTCAGTTCAAGACAAGCCGAGATGAAACAACGTACTATGACAGTAACACCAACGAGCATGAGTTTCCCCCCGGAATAGCAACAAAATGGACGACGTCCCAGTAGCGTCTACCAAGCGGCATGAAATAGCGAGCCCTTAAAGCGGAACAAAGGTTCCTAAACTGCTATATCCCCACCCATCAGATGCATGATCAAGGACTGACGAGGCGTGCACTCCTCGCTAGTCGGTCCCAAGCAGAGCCGAAGGGCAGTACAATGCACGAGAGGAGCGCCGTTGTCGTCACGCGGGCGTCCATGCAAGGACCGTCGGAAGCACATGGTGGTAAGAAGTCAAGAGTGAAAAAGTGATCGATCGCTTTATAAAGAGCGTGTCCCAGGAGGCCTAGGGTTCAATCCTTGCTCAGACCGCTGCCGGGAAAATGTGACCCAGGTCTCAAAATACATGAACGACTTCCGGGCTCGACGCTTACAGGGAAGAAAAGACATAACAAATTCAGCACACAATACATGTAAGAGTACTACTTATGGCGCAGCCTTTTGAGGCGTCCGTCTTGTCCATCTTCTTCTCGTTCGTCTTCGTACACGACTTAACATAGGCGTTAGAACTCGCACTGAAGGGCACACAGAAAATTACTCACCTTCTCTGCCTCTCGTGCGTCTCCGAGGACGGATGATTATCTCCTCCTCCTCATCGTCGTCCTCCTCCTGCCCCGCCCCCGACTCTTCCCCAGCTCCACCAGCGTCGCCCTCTGTGTCGTCGATGTCCATCGGCTGCTCCTCGTCGCCGTAGGGAGTCGGCTTGTATCGCCAATCCGGATCTGAAGAAGCGTCAGAATGATTAACAAAAAATACAATAACACATACGTTGAGGTAACATGAACTCCAAGGAGCCGTGCCGCGCCGCCTCTGTATCCAGCCAGTCGACATAGCGGTCGCTGGCGTTCACATGGACACCTGTCCTCTCGAAGGTCTTCGCGAGATTCAGGCCGCCTTCGTCAAAACTCAGCTCTATCGCCTGATTGACGGCGTTCTCGGTGAACGCGAGCATCGGCGGAATCGGGGCGTTACGCCAGCGCGCATTGGGGGGGCGATCGACGTACTGCGGAAGTAGTGCGGGGCTCGGGGACACCTCGTAGTTCTTGATGTAGGCCTCAAGACCGCCGTCGCGCTCCAAAATGGCGCTCGCTTCGAGCTCGAAGCGGTTTGGCTTGTCCGTCCACCGTGGGTGTACATCTGCGTCCAAGTTATTGTAAGAAACAAAAAAACACGAAGAAAACTTACCAGAAGGGTCGTCGTACGACGCGACGCTACGGCCACGGAGCTTGGGACGACGGGTGGAATGGCGGGTAGCGCCCTTAGCGCGAGTCGATCGAGAAGACATGAAAAACCTAAAAAGCAAATTTAGAACATGAACACCGTCAAGGACCCATACCTTTCCACGCGTACCTTGCAGCGTGGTCACAGTCTACAAGACAAAACGACTCGGTCCGTAATCGCCCGAATCAGATCGGCACAGATCGGGATGGATCGGGATGGATCGGCATCGATGATTATCTTCGGATAATCCCGGATCACGTGACTGCTCTCAAGATTTTTTTTTTTTTTTTGGGGGCGGGGAGTTCATTCATCGGCTCTGATGTGTGACGAAGCTGGATCAGTCGTGTCAATTTTATTAGACGTATCAATTTTATAAGACGCGCCAAGTTGGCTGATCCCCGAGGTGCCCGAATGCGCACGGAAATTGCCGGATAAGAATCGATCCACAGCGATCGGTTCTGTTTCCCTCTTACCACCATCACGAGACGCTACGCCACTCAGCAATGGGAATTTTCGGTGGAACCCACGGTCTCGGTCGCTGTGGCCATACGTGTGCGCACCCGCCTGGCGCCACCATGAACGCGTACATCGATGTTCGTAGCCAATTCCGTAATCATTTCAAGGACGGCGTGCACGCGTGGTGCAACGAGGGCTGCGTCATGTACGAGCGAAAAATATCAGTCTCGATGCTAGACGCCACGCCCACCGACCTCCAACGCTTTTTTAAATCCGTTCATTCCAAACTTACCGGCGAAGACTCGCAGTACAAATCGAACCAGAAGCGTCTAGAGCTCCTGGCCGAGTTGAAGGGTCACCCAATCTGGAAGACGTGGGTTGACGCTGTCGACACCTTACAGTCGAACCCTCCTTCCGTCTTCAGTGACGGCCACTTTGCCATCACTGAGGACCAATCATGGGTAAAACACGAAATTCCTGTCTTCCCCCAGATCTCCACACCTCAGGTACCCGTTACTCCGGCATGGAACAGGGTGCAAGCTCTCGTTCAATACGCCGGCTATGTTCCTCCCGCCCCTGCCGGCTATGTTCCTCCCGCCTATTATGGCTATGCACCCTACCCCGGCTATGCGATGTACCCACCGTATGCTCCTCCTGGTGGCGCTCCTCCTCCTGGTGGCGCTCCTCCTCCTGGTGGTGCTCCCCCTGCCGGCGCGTATCCTCCTCCCGGCGCGTATCCTCCCGCCGCCTATCCTCCCGGCGCGTATCCTCCCGCCGCCTATCCTGCTCATGGCGCGTCTCCTTCCCCGTCCCCACCTCCCGCTGAGGATCCTCGCGAGTTGACGCCTCCCCCTCAGCAGCATCGCCGCACTCAACGGAACGCCACCCCAGGTCCGTCTAATATCCACAGGACGCCTGAGGAAGACGTCGCGCGATCTCTCGGTCGTCTGTCTGTGGTCCGCACTCCTTCCCCACGCGTCGACCCTATCCCTACAGTCTATGAGGTCCGCGAACTCGAAGGTGGTTACACGCAGGCATTCCCCCGCCCTCCACACGCCAGACTGCCCAAGAACATGATCGTGGGCGTCTTTTCCATTCAATCCGAGGCGGACTTGTGGGCTCCCAAGGTCATAGAAGAGATGAACTCGTCGGATACTGGCTTGCCGTACTTCAATACGATCGACATCGATCTCTCACAGCCTAGAGCATTAGCTTGGGAGTGTTATGTTCGCGCATTGCCGTTTATGTCTAGGATGATCTTCTTTATGGGCTCAGCCGGGAGTCAAGGTCGTGGCATGGTGCGGTACTACGTGCACGAATGGGTATGTTTATGTTCCTTCGCACATCTCTTACCTACTGATGTCTTCTAATGTAGCTCGAGGTCACACGGCGCTTATACCTCAAGGGGGTAGACATTCGATACGTCCCCTCTGGTCCTCTCTTCAGTTCTTTGACTGCGCGCGACCCGGAAGACCAGTTGTGGTTGGACATAGAGGCCGCCGACGTCATTCTCAACCTCACGTCGTTGAATGGTACGGCGCCGCGTTCCGCTCGCGGTGACGAGACTTCCCCTTTCGCCGCACTTTACAACGAGGACGCGCTCAAGAGCATTGAGGAGATGGTTTCGCGTGGTTTGTTCTTCTGGCCGAACCCTAGCGCCTTGACGCTGACCACGCGCAAATTCATCAACACTTTCCTCTATGGCCGTGAGATCTTGAACGCCGGTGGATACGCGGAGGCGCCAGTGTACATCGAGACAGAAGAAAGCGGCATGGACTTGCTCAAGCATAAAATGCACGTCATCAAGCGTGACTTTACGAGCGAGATTGTGGAGGTCTTCATGCCCGACACTGCTCTGCAGCACAAGTCCGCCGCTAAGGGATTTGGCAAAGCACAGTCGCAGGCGCCTCTCTTCCGCAAGTCTTGGCAGAAGTACGACCGCCTCAAGAACGCTATCGGCGACCCCTTCCTCCCCATGTACCACGCTGTCCCGTACAACGATGCGTTGATCAGCGTTGGTGAAGTCCGCGTCTTCTTCGTCAACGGCCTCTTGATCGACTCACTGCATACTGTGCCCGGGCGTAAAAAGGCGCAGATTTGGTCTGTGGAGCGTGTCACCGGGGCACGAACCGCTCCGCTTCGCAATATCACGTAGGGCTACTTCTCTTTTCATACCATGCAATCTACTCACCATGTATTCCCAAGTTTACTCGATGGCCGTGTGCCTTCAGAAGACACGTCTTTAGACGGTTCAAATTGTTGGCTTGGCGGAGCTACAGAGGCTTCCCTCGAAGCTGAGGCGGAGATCCGTCACTTTGCGTCCCGCGTATACCAGCGTCTCGTCAACATCGAGGCAGCAGTGGGCGGTCCGCTTTGCGCCACCTACCGTCTCTTTGTCCGGATCGACATTGGCATCATGGCGTCAGAACACGGCCCACCTCGTTTCTGCTTGAACGAGATTCAGGGGGGCGCGTGCGGTCTCTTCAGCGATAACCCAGAGGTCTCTGACACCAGCGCCAACGCCATCGTCAAGGCCTTTGAATCCGGAGTCTGGATGAAAAGGGACGTCTAGTGTACTTTTATATTTACGTTTTTCTTGCTCGCACCGTCTGTACCTGTAGCGCACTGTACTATACTTACATTTTGTCGCGTTTGTCTTGAAATCTATTTACTGTCACCGTCTGTACCTATTATAATGTATTTTCAGTCATAAACATGGTCCATTGACGATGCCGGTTGATGCCGATCGATGCCGATCGATGCCGATCGATGCCGATCGATGCCGATCGAATCTGGGCGAAACCCAAGCAATGTTGAAGGAGTCGTGAATTTTGTCACCCCGGGAGCTCTTTTCCCGCAGCGCCTACCCTCCCCGTCTGGGCTCTATTTCAGTTCATTTAATTTCAGAGCGACAGCTATGTTGAAATCCTCCGCGGCGACATCGAGCCAGTTCAAACGGCGTCCAGCGACGCCCAGCCTGTCGCCAAACAAAAAAGAAGGGGGTAGGATTTTCACGCCTACTGCGGGAGTCGAACCCGCGCCGTCACATAGCACATCCTTTGTTGATAATGTGACGGGAATGCCCACTGCACCAAGCAGGCTTCGTTATTAGTGGAGGTCGTCTCCCACGTCACGTTTACCTTCTTACTCCTGCTTGTCAGTTACTCGCTCACTGCCTTGTTCCCCGTCGGGGCTCTATTTCAGTTCATAAAGGGGATATTAATTTCAGAGCGACAGCTATGTTGAAATCCTCCGCGCGTAGGATTTAATCAAAATTTGTACATGTTTGTCTATATTGATGCTTATGCATCGCTCTCGCCAAGATGTCCGCTTGCGCCGCGGCCGACCAAGCGCAGAACTTTGCCGTTCCTGACCATGCGGTAGGTATAAAAAAAAAACAATTTGATTTTCTACGAATTTTAAATTACAAAGCTATATATACCATGCTGGCCCTCAGCGAAATGCCTTTTTCTCGCCTCTTGATGTCCTTCTCAGACAGTGACCCCGAATCGGATCTTAGTTCGACAGGAGCTGTCGTCCCGTCTCTACCGGCGACTTCCCAAACCCTTGTCGGGTCGCCCGACGTACGTCCTCTTGAAAACTTGTCAAGACGCTACTCATTTCTCCTCCAGAATATGTCCGACTCTGAGGGCGACGAGATTCCTCTAGCCATACTGCCTAGTCAGCGTTCTCCCCTCTTCAGCAACCGCTATCTTCGGCGTGCACGTCATGTGTCGCCCTTGATGCTTTCATCTCCCGTTCCACCTCTTATTCCAGAAGTTCCGGTATGCATTTTGACACCCGCACCTCTTTTTCCCTAATGTCGTCGTAGGCCGAGACTCAATCACCGCGCATGCGTTCAGCGTCACCGCCGATCTATAATTTCCTACATCCAGAAGAGATAGGCGCCACTGCCGACTCTGCCGTAGCGTCTACCATCGTCGAGTCGGCTACTCCTTCGGCTCAGCCGGATGAATTTTGCGACCTGGGTGACAAAATTCAGAGTCATCAAACAGTATGCGCGTTTGTATCGGTTTTGACACGCAACCCTTACTTTCATCCTAGGCCGAGACTCGCATGCGTTCAGCGTCACAGCCGATCTATAATTTCCTACATCCAGAAGAGATAGGCGCCACTGCCGACTCTGCCGTAGCGTCTACCATCGTCGAGTCGGCTCCTCCTTCAGCTGAGCCTGATGAATTTTGCGACCCGGGTGACAAAATTCACAGTCTCGCGCAAGCCACTTCAGTATGTGTCTTCTTAAAGCGTAAACTTGCATTGACATATCATCCTGAAAAGTATCTAGCGAGCCTTGCCTTAACATTTGATGAAGAACTGCGCGTCTTGATTTGTGACTGCCAAAGTTTGGTGGAACGAGGGCATGCGGCATCTCACCTGCGTACACATAAAATTCAAGTCAATGTGGCTCGTCTAGAAGCGGCTATGGACGTCTTGGATGTCATCGCGGGAACACCGGATGTCACCCGGCTCACGAAGCCAATTCCTGGTCTACCACAGGTGGCCGTTCGTCAGTGTCCACTATGTCCATCCCTTTTCCTTACGCAAAAGACCATGCGCGCTCATACGCAATCGGATCATGGTCAGCCATTCAAACCTGAGTTGTGGATCGCTTGTACAGGTCAACAATTCAATCGCGGTAATAACAAAGCGTGGTTCTCCGTACCTTCATCCGTTCCGCCAGAGACAGAGTCGGATGATATGGATATGGTTATCCATGCAGCTGTGGAACGGTCCTCCAATTTGCTTCAACAATCACGACTACTCTCGGATCTCAATCCTCGCTTAGTCTCTCCTTGGCTTCGGGCTACGAGGTGGAAGGACATTGTTGATCGGGTTGGCGTTGCATCCGCTAAAGCCTTGATTGCTGGCGATCAAGATTCAGAAGACGTACGAGGGCATTTTTCGTCTCTGATGTATGAAGCCACAGGCTTGATACCCATCACGCCTGACTTGCTTTTGCAAAAGTTAAATTCCCCAAATGCCAGGTGTGTTACTATATCACAGGATATCGCGCGGTACTCACCTAGGCAAAGCGCCATCTCCAACCAGCCGTTCAGCAAGCATCAACAGGTAGAGGCCACCCTGGACGCCTACCTAACGCCAGGAATGTGGCTCCTACGTTTGCTCATTCAAGATCCACCCGACGCCCATCCGGAACTCTCTGCGCTTGTCAACGCCTATACGACGTCCCACACTGACAGGGCTTATAAGCTGTACCAGCTATTGCGTTACATCTGGACGCATACCTGGACACCCACATCCGACCAGCCGTTCCCCGATCCTACTCTTCGTGCACTTGCGTACTCGAAGGTCTACGGCGATGGTTCGTTCGCTAGCGCAAAACAAACTACCGGAGACCTAGCCAAGTTCACGCACCTAATGCGTCTCCTCTTTCTCTATGGCATGCATGACGACGTCAAAACGGGTAGTGCAGACACCTTGGAGACCGCCTGTACACAGCTACAGCCCTACTTTGTTGAAAAGAATGATACCCCATTCAATTCGATCCGCTCCCTGCAGCATTTTGCAACCGCCATGGCCAATGCTACCCCAGAAATTCCCACCATTACCTATCCCGATCCTAACTCGTATCGAAAACTCTCCTACAAGGGTGATCTAATCGCCTTTGAGGATGTGATCGCCATGATCTCTACCACTGAAGAGGACCTCGTACGTCACTTTGAACGTGAAGTCTGTCTTGGTTTAGACACCACTCTCGATCGACAACAATGGATATCCGACGACTTATCAAACTCACACGTTGGCTACTCGTTCCTTACAGATCAGCGTAACCAGTATAGGCGATACTCGGAACGCCTTTTGCGGCACATCCTTCACACTCCCTCTCTCCGCGAACGCTTTGTCAATTCGATTGACAATGGTCAAATCGTCTGGAATAGACACACACTCCGCGCCTACCTTCTTGCTGTACGCGACCTGACACAGCTTATCCTCATACGATGTGAGATGGTCGCCGGCGCACCCATTCGAGGAACCGAGCTTGTCTCTATGACTTTTCAGAATACGCAAACGCGTCGGCGCAATCTCTTCATGATCAACGGTCATCTCACCCTCCTTGGCCAATACTCCAAAACGACCTCCATTACGAAGCGTGATCGTCTCATTGCCCATGCACTCGATGCTGTCACCACCGATGTACTGCTTCGATATTTGACGTTCATATCTCCCTTCGTTCAACTCGCCGCCACTCAGCTATTCTGTGATGGTCTAGACGAGCACTCACGGACGTTGAACGCGTACCAGAGTCAGCTATTCGTGCACTACGATCGGTTGTTCAGTACGGAGGACTTGTCGGCGCTCATGAAAAAGTATACAGCCGTACACCTTCATGTCGCCTTATCCATGCAGCCCTGGCGACATATCAGCATCGCCTTTCATCAGAAGCTATGTCGAGACCTGCTCAAGCAACAGTATTCACTAGACGCGATCGACATCTACTCTGCCGAACAAGCTGGACATTCCAGTACGATTGAGAGTCAACGCTACGCGCAAAGCTCTGATGGGCTGCATGGGGCAAACGCGCGCGACTTGGCACTGTTCTGCGATATCAGTGTGCAGTATCAGACGATAGCTCGAGTCGTCCCGAGTGGTGTAGGCCTCTCCTACCCAAACGCACGATCTACCAGGTTCGATTCGCTTGTGAAGAACGGTCAAATCCGTCCTACTTCACGGTCGCCTCTGGAACCCTCGCCGCTATCGGTCCCAACAATAGCTCGTGAGGTCGTAGACCTAATATGGCCACTGCTTGAAGAGAGGCTGACGCAATGTAAGCTGCTATGTCAAAGACAAATCATTCAGACTCTGATAACCGTCTTCTCAAGTACAAATACCGCCCCAGTCGGTAATCCAGGACGAAGGTATGTTGGACTCAAGATGTTCACAACCAACATCTCTCACTGTTTGCCTTCTAGAAATTGAATATGTGGACCCGCCTGCGACTCTATCAGAGGAAGCGTACTTGGTCATATTGCGCCGCCTTTTAAACGACCCTAATGCCACCTGGACCTGTCCCGAACAGTGGAAGTCAATCGTAGAGGTTTCCAAACGGACGCACGACACCCTCATTGTGATGCCCACCGGAAGTGGAAAGACGCTCATTCCCATCCTTCCCGCTATGGTTGAAAAGGAGTACACCATCGCTGTCGTCCCACTTATCTCCATCCTCCAAGACTATCAGCGCCGCTTCACCCAGATGAAAATACCGTTCTACATATTCGCGTCGAACGATGGCGGTAGCCTACCTCCTGATGCGCGCGTTATCCTCACCACAATCAACCAAGCCCGGTCTGAGCTTTTCCAATCCTACGTCAAGGAATGGCACAGAGGGTTAGGCATCAGCCGCTACGTCATTGACGAATCGCACTATCCGCTCACCAATCGCGGCTTTCGCAAAGAGCTCGAAGACGCCCTCAAGGTTCGATGTATTCCAGTACCGCTGGTACTGCTTTCTGCGACGGTTCCGCCTCATCTGGAAGCCAATCTTGCCCAACGCTGGGGCCTCACAGAACCCTATACCTCTATTCGGGCATCTACTGAACGGCCGGAGCTTCAGTACAATGTCGTCAATGTTCCTCGCTCTGAAAGTTCCAACCGGCTTGTTCAGCTACTTGAAGCTGAGAGGGCGACATACACAGAGAAGGATCGTGCTCTCGTCTTTGTGACCAGCAAGGTACGAGGAAAGGAGCTTGCGGAACGCTTCGGCTGCGAATTCTACCATGGCGACGAAGAGCTGAGTCGAAAGGACAGAGACTGCATTGCGCAGAACTGGCGAGACGGAAAATACAACGTCATGGTTTCTACCAGTGCTTTCAGTGCCGGCAACGACTATCGCCATGTTCGCAGTGTCTTTCATGATGGAACACCGGGAAGCATGCTTGACTTCATCCAAGAGATTGGACGTGCTGGCCGAGATCATCAGTTGGCGAAGTCATTCCTAATGCGCACTGGCAGCAACCAGTGGATGCGTCGTGGAGAGGAAGACGACACTGCTTGCTATACAGAGATGGACGAGTACGCGGCAGCCACGTTTGGCTGTCGCCGATTTATGCTCAATGTGCTT